TTGATTGGCTGATGTCATGGTTTGATCGACGTAATTGCTGACTCAGGATAACCAATCATTTAACTGTCCCTGCTGTTGGTCAATTAGCTCGTGGCACATATCGAATATTTTCATTTGCATTTAGCCACAAATATAGCGTTATTATTTTAGCCTTAATGTAAAATGTTAAAAACAACTTGATTACATAATAAAATGGAAGGCCATTCCACATGCATAATTTATTTAGCTGTTGCAAAGCCTCAGAGTGTCCTAAACTAAATGCAGTCGAAAGCTCATACAGAGGATCATGTCCCTGCATTTCTTACGTATATAGTAAATAATCTTTGAGTATACATTTCTATTTAAGGTTAAATAAAGCAAGTTTTTATATGCAATCAAAAAGATATAAGATAAATGCTTTTCAATACATTCTAAAAATGGTTTTTCGTCATAATTTAATAACAATCTTTTTTTGTGACGTACGATTCGAGTAATTTAGGCACGTTCTTTTGTTAAATCAATCGTGAAATGTTCCCAGTGAAAAAGGTATAAAAGTTTTATTTAGATGTATACACGCAAATATTTCTGAACCAAAAATGTTTGTTATACTTGATATACAAGAATTTGAGATACCAGAATTTTTTCGCTTTGTTGGAGAAACGTCGCAGGCAATGGGATATAGATTCGAATCGTTTTCTGCTGAGTTATTGAGGAGATACTTTGAAAGACTAGGTGTTAGAGTTATAGAAACTGGATAAGTTTTTCTTACAGAGTCTTGTGGAGTCACTATGTATCCTAAGTTACGCTGTCACACATATGTAAATCATCTGAGAATTGAAAGCACATCGTGGCGAATCTATTCAGATTCAACGTTCTTCTCAGTTATATGTGTCTTCGTGGGCCTTTTGGCGCGGAGATTAATGATGAATAAGATACATGCTGGCGCCAGCTATATGTGACTATGAAACATATACTCATTTTAATTATCAATTTAGAGGACCAAACGATGGAGGTCGGGATATTATTATTGAAATTTGTGGATATATAGGCGTTATACAATGCAAAGCTTGGTTTGCAAAATATATATGTACGTTTATTATTAATTAAAATGTAAAATTATTAGTATAATAATTAAATAATTTATTTATAGCTCGTAAAGAAGTTGACGAATTTAGATCGGTGGTGAGTGATGGTGGATTTGATTTTGGAGTTGTTGTTGGGGTTTTAGAAGAAAAAATTTCGGATGAGGCTTATAACTCGGCTGAAAGATCGGAACATGGTATTATTGTCACAACCTATAGAAATATGTGCCGAAATATCAAAAACTTAATCGCTGGTCGATTAAGTCAAGAATTTCGTGCCTTAGAAGATATAGAAGATAGATGTAAAAAATTTAAGTTAGATTATAAATTAATTTTCATTTCTTTTTTTGTAAATTTTCTGCTTATTTCTTATGTATTTTTACTTTATATGTTTTTATTTAATTGACGATACTATCATGTTTTGATCTTTCATCCGATTGTAAATATTATATTTTTCTCTTTTTTTCTTTTTTTCATTCTTTTTCTCTTTTTCTTTTCTATTAATAAAGATTTTTTGCAATATAAATAAAGCTGGCCAGGCCTTCCTAATTTCACATAAATAATCAGTTTACTTTGCATATATATCTCGTGAATTTATTTATTGTATTGTTATCAATGTACATTACTCGCATATGATCGAGAATTTTCTTGGTAAACTTGAACGACCTGAGGTCTGTGAAATTTGAACGACCGAAAATTTATTTTATAGAATGTGACCCCAGGTCACAACATCACGTGATATATGAGGCAGTATGTGCGTAATTATGACTTTTGAGTATTGTTGAAACTCCAATTCACTTCATTTCGTTCCCTGGTGGCTCGATTTTCGCATAAACAACCGTGTTTACTTTTTACATATGTATTTCAGGATTTTATTATATTGTACGAGTGATATGATCGTGAATTTTTCTTGGCAAAAGTGGTCGGCATTCTGAAACAGAACGCTCGCATAATTTTTATTAATTCGAAATTTTGAATAAATATGTATCTTATATAAAAATTATTATCGAACATGTCATCAGAGCTTGAATTATTAAGACAGCGAGTTGCCAAACTTGAGGTAGAAAATACCAAATTAAAACAGATCATAGAAGAAATTGCTAATCTTAGGATCGAAAATAGAAAGCTAAAACAAATAATAAACCAAAATCGAACTACTAATAATGCTTCACAGTCTCCAGTTTCTCCGGCATTATCAGTAACTCCACAGATGCCTATTCCATCATCTATTAATGGTCAATCTGACAAGAATGATAGCACCAACTCTGTGAATCTAGAACAGGCACAAAGTGATACCCCTGAGAAAATTGTTTCTCCCGAATGGATAGAGAACACATCTAATAACGCTTCTCATCCTGATACATATCAACCCATAATCACAGAGACTAAAACGTTGGAAGATAAGGAAGTCAATGAATTCCTGGATTCGAAAGATAAGGAAAGGGTTAGTAATATGATAAGAGAAAGAAACGGGGAAAAAAAGTTTCAGGACCAAGACTTATCTTCAGTAGAATCAGAAAAAACCATGAATAAAATTCACGATCAAAATCTAGACGGATCCTTGTCATTATCTAAACCATCTATTAATTCTGATTCTACAGACCCATTCGAATATAATTATGATCTTTCTCAGCCTGATAAGAACCAGATTGTAGAACAAAATTTAAAACAAGAACTATCTGCCTCTCCAACCTCCAGAAAAAATATAACTAGTAATCAGAACTTACTGGATGGTGAAAATCAACATAATCAAGTTATGGCACAAAGCATAGTTTGTATGTTTCGAAAAGCAATTCAATCTGGTCAGGAAGAAATTTTGCATTGGTGTCGCTATATAGAAAGGTATGATAAAAGGGTTAATGAGATTACTTCCGATGGCAAAGTTAAGATTAAAACAGCAAAGAGTTTGGTATACAAAGAAGTTAAACAGCTACTTCCTGATATTACAGATGCGAATCTGCATCAGAAAACTCTTAGAGCTAGAAAAATCTATAATCTTTTTAATGCCGTAGGAATAGAAAAAATTGAGCAAGTTACATATAGTGCAAATGCTATTTCAAACCTTACTTACACTTAAATTCAAAATATTATAAATCACGTACTTTCAAAAACTGTGAATTTTATTCACAATCAGAATAATTCTGAAGTAAGTGTATCAGCTAATAATATCTCACAAGAAACTAAGATCTCA